TTCAATTTTTTGCAATCCAAAAAATTTTTCATTTCCTTTTGTGTAACCCCACTGTCTATAAGGTAATGTTATTTTGTCAAGCTGTGATTTCAAGTAAGAAAACGACAATTTTCTCTCTTTCAATTTTCTTACTCTCATTTTCTTTTCTTTCATTTTTTTAATTTCCTCCTTCTTTTCAATTTTCTCTATTTGATCTGTAAAAAAATATTTGACAATTAAATTGAAAACTAACAATTTCTTGGTAAGAAAAATATTTTTCATGACATACATAATAAATAATATGTTTGTAATTACTATGGCTGCATTATTCTTTTAATAATTACATCAAGTTATTGACACTTTAAATATTCCAATTATATACTTACACATGATTTTGGAGATACAATATCGCAATGGTAAATAAAATTTCTGAAATAAACACTGAACACTAAGATTTTTTTTGTGACATATATGTATATCGCATAACCACACTTTTCATCTGTCAAAATTGAGGTCCAATGCGCATGCTCAGCTACTTCGGTGGTTGAGTACACTGCACTGAACCTGGCACTTATCGTACATGTTTTTCTGACATTTTCAAACGCAGAGATCGGTCTCCTTACTATTCCTCCGTGTCCGGATCCTTGCTGGGTTTTCGGTGACAGAGAGAAGAACAAGTTACGGTGAGAGAAAGGTATATCTTTATTTTGCAAATGAGGGTTCGCTTGACCTGCAATCTGTTAATAACTCTGAGGACCCAGGTAATTATTTATTTTTCCCTTTATCACGTGAAAAAGCTATAAAGAAAGTCTAAAACTAATTAGGTACCGCATACCTTTTTTTCTTACACCAAGGAATATAACATAAGTACTTCTTTGTTTAACATGGCGTTTCTCTATCTAGACGATTGAAAATGTCATAAGAACATCATCGTCTAAAATCTTAATCTTCTTCCTTTTTGTTTTAAAAATAAAAAAAATTCATATATCTGTATATATGTATATAAAGGAGAGTGACAAACAGTGGGACACTTTTTTTTCAAAGACATATTAATATGTCAATTTTATATATTTTTGGACACTTTTTGGTACTACAATAAAGTTTGAACTCTTTTCTACATAATGCATATATTCTATTTAAATTATATTGTGATTAAATAGAAAAATTTCAAGTTTTTGGAACTTGATACATTTTTCTTGTTTTGAAGGTTTGTGTTATACAGTGGGACACCTATTATTAAATAATGAATAATTGTTTCAATAATAATATTCTGCTTCATATACTTTGTAAATATATATGTTTTGCATTAAATAACGTTAACAAATGTTGCAAAACACTCATAATTTAATAATATTTTACATTTTTATAATACGATTTCAAGTTTCATATGAAAAATTTTTTATTATTTTTTTTTTCGTTTACAGTACTGCTGATCATACGTCATAATTTGGTCATATCCTAAAAACAATTTGGAGGAAAATTTGAATAGTCGTTCTCTTATCAAGTGTTATTTTTCAAATGTTGACGAACAATAATTGTAATAATTATAAATTTTCAATTTTTTAATGTTTTTAGCATAAAAAAATCACATTTTTAGTCACTGTGTAAGAATAAATGCTCATGCGTATAGCTGACACAACTTATAATTAGTGTTGCCCAAATCCACGTTTCATAAACTTAAATTTTTGCCTGTCCCAGTGTTTAATGTCCCAATGTTTAAATTAAGCAATCGCATAAATTATTTAAATAAAAATTGTTTGTAAAATTTTAAATTATTTTAAATTATTGGATATTATACTTAAAAACATGAGTAAACGAAGTAACAATTACACCTTTTTTTAAAACTGTCCTATTTATATAAAAATCAGCATTGTATTTCAAGAAATAATTTACTCCGTAACGTCAAAAACATTTTTTTTAAATTTTCTTTGTAAATAATGAATCAATGTGGCTAAAATTTTTGGAGGTAGTGTGTTGTCATAAACATGCTTTACATTTAAATTTTGGTCGAGTTTCTTTGAGTAGTTTTTCAGAAAATTAAAGTGTCCTACTGTTTTAACTGTCCCACTGTTTATCCCTCTCCCCTACCTGTATTAGAGCCCCAGAAAATTTTAATAAAAAAATTTAAAAATTATTACCAGGCCTCTCAGAATTAATCTTCATTAACAAAGGCTCTATTGTCCAAGGATTGGTATTGTTTGTGGTAATTGTTCTGAGGGTCTAATAATGGTATATACATATTTTTTTTATTTTGAAAACAGAAAAAAAGAAGAGTCAGATTTTTAGGCGAAGATATTCTTATGTTATTTTGAATACTCTAGATAGAGAAATGCAATATTAAATAAAAATATTTATGTTATATTCCTTGATGTGAGAAAGAAAGATATACATTACCTCTTCAGTTTTTGACTTTTATCTTTATATTTCCATGTGATAATACACGGAAAAAATTTCGAGACGTTAGACGTGCCAATGTCGATGTAAACCTACTGTACATTTCATTATGTACTCATAGTTAATCTTCATTAACAAAGGTTCTATTGGCCAAGGGTTGGTACATCTTTATTTTTCTATATAATAAATGTGAAAAAAGAAATTATTACCTGGGTCCTCAGAGTTAATCCTCATTAACAAAGGTTCTATTGTCCAATAACTGGTTTTTTTGTGGTATTTGTTCCGGGGTTTTAATACAGGTATAAATACGTATATATGTTATTTATAATGAACTACTGATTACTCATATAAGAGTGTCCTTTTTGCACTTATTGGCTGATCAGTAGTTACTGATTCATAGTTACACATAGTTCTCTCATTCTTTTGGATATTTTGTAGTTTTATTGTATAAAAGGCAAAATTGGTTATATTGGATTAAAGTAAAAATTGGTTATATTCAATTAAAGGAAAAATTGGTTATATTTAGTAAAAGGTAAAATTAGTTGTATTGAATTTAAGGAAAAATTGGTTATATTTAATAAAAGGTAAAATTGGTTGTATTGAATTAAAGGTAAAATTGGTTGTATTGCATTAAAGACAAAATTGGTTATATTTAATAAAAGGCAAAATTGGTTATATTAGAGGGAGTGAGCAAAAGGGTTAAAGATATTTAGATTTTCATGAATCAAAAATAAAATTAAACGAAGTATACTATGGCCAACATAAAAGAGTATGTTATTTTAAGTGATAAAGATTTAAAAATTATTGAAAATAGAAATAAATTGTTAAATTACATGCATATGTACAAATTTGAAGATTTATTAAGAAAAGATTCCAATCCTTTTTTCAATATGCAAAGTGCTTTGTATGTACAAATGCTTGATTTTATTGTCCCAATTAGAGACGGTGATAAACATATTAAAATACTTTTCAGCGGTAATAACAATTATGGTCACTGAATTTGTGTCTAATACGATAGAGTAAGGCTTTATATTTTTGATAGCCTTAATGAGGGGTGTTTAAATGTGCATCAAATAAAATATTTAATTAGATTGTTCCCTTTTAAACCAACAGTAGTTTTTGAAGCTTTTGATCAACAAACTTTTGGTAGTGTTGAGTGTGGAGTACATACAATAGCATTTGCAACATCTATATTATTTAATGTAATGCCAAACCGTGGAAATTATTAAACTGATAATAACAAAATGAGAAACCATTTTAAGTGAATGTTTGAAAATAATTGCTTAAATCATTTTCCAACAGTAAGAACGTCTCACAATAGGATTTCGATAATAGAGAATGATTAGAACCGTCTTTTCATAAATTGAACTCAGGAACATAAATATTATATTTTAAACTATTGTTCTGTTTTTAATACTTTTCCCAGTAATAATATTAACAGAGTTCTATTAACACAAGAGTTAAAAATTAAACATTCTCTAAATGACACTAGTGAAAAGAAAGTAATTCGTACAACTTATAATACTGTGAGCAAAATTTCACCACATGAATATTTAACAATGAAAAATTTTCTGAGTAAAGAAAATGATAAAAAGATAAATCGAGCAATTAAAGAGAAGGGAAGAAAAAGGAAGGCAAGGCGCGAAGTTACATATGAGCAGTAAATAATAAGACAGGAGAATGAGAGATTGAGAAAACGTAATCGTAATAAAACAGAAATAAAAAAGAAAGAGCGGAAAAAAAATTTGACAAGCAAAAAAAAGAAATTATCTATGAAAACTGAAGATGGAAAGAAAATACGCAAGGATAAAAATTTGGCATGTAGGAAAAGAAAAATATCAATGGAAACTCAAGATGGAAAGAAAGTGCGTCAAGAAAATAATTTGTCATGTAAGAAGAAAAAATTTTCTACGGCAACGGAAGATGAAAAGAATGTGTGAAGAAAAGAATTTGACATGTAAAAACGATAATCGGAATAAAAAAAGTGCAGGAGTAGCAATAATGTCTTTTGAAGATTTAGATGAAAGTAAAGTTTCACAGAATTATTTAGGTTTAATAAATGTAGAATGTAAGTTTTGTAACGCGTTACATTTTTTCTGTGAAAGACCGTAACATAGATACATTACGGAGGAATGTCCCCGTGAAGAGGACATTATGATATCGCCTGAATGTCACAAAAATATTCCCGGTTGATATCAGCTTGACATTCAAGCAATATTCCGTGCTACTTGGGTGGTAGATCAAATATAAAGATATTTTTTTTTAGATTTCCAATATTAAATTTTTTTGAAAAAAAATGAATAAAAAATATGGTTAATGCACACTAGCAACGTAGTCGGCCGCTTGCGGACGACAAAGTTATGTTTGCTACACTGAGAGAAGTTAAATACAGATTTCGTACTAAACACACGTGTACCTAACCTTTCGAGCAACATCGGTTCTAAATTGTATCACAGCTGCGCTTTTTGGTTGACAGATACTGTACTAAATCGTTTGTCCCACAAGTTAGATCATAATCAGTACTCAATTGGCGCTGCTGCTGTTCAATTTTAGTATTGCGTCGGCACATGATTGAGATACAATATCTGTCCCTCAAAAAATGCAGATGTTGCGTTAAACTTCTCTCAGTGTAGTTATTTTTAAAAAGAAAATTGATTGAATTAAAAGTTATACATAAAATTATTTCAAAAACTGTAATTTAAAAAGACAATTACACTCACCCGACCATTTACAACACTCATTAGTCTTAATAATTGTGTTGCTTCCAAGGAACTTGGTACAGATGTTTTTGATATGTGCAAAAAAAATTGTCCACTATTACAGATACTACTTGCAAATGCTTGATCAATTATTAATACTGAGGCTGAATTGTCGACATCATTTATTAAAATAAAATTTAAAGTGCCATTTTCATGCTGTTTCAAATGTAACCATTGTTCCTCATTTAAGATTTCCGTTAAATCTTCTAAAGAGTTTACCTCCTCAGGTGTATTATTTTTTCGACGACAATACATAATGCTTTGCATACTACTATAGGTAACACCAACAGCTGCTTCCTCATGGCTGTAAGTACATTTATGTTGACAAAAGAAATGAAAAAGCAGAACTTGAAGGGGAAAAAAGAAATTAACGAAAAAAAGATACATTTTTTAACAAAAATTATATTGTGACATATTTAAAAATTTTGTCATTATCAAATCTATTTAGTTATCAGGGTGTCCAACAAGAAGTAAAAAAAAATTCCTTGACTTTTCCCTTACCTTTTTACCAACTTTTCTTGAATAAATATTTAATATTTAAAAAAAATGAAAAGTATCAAATATCAAAGTATTTTTCAGATAATAAAAAATTTTTATTTATTAGCATTATAAATTTTATCTTGGATCAAAAAATTTAAAAAATCCATAAAAATGTTCATTTTTGGCAAATTATTAAATATAATAATATAATATATAATTTTTAGCACTTATTATTTGAAATGATAATTTTAATAATGTATTTATTAAAATAATATAAGTTCCGGAATGTCTTTAAAAAGAAATAATTATTATCCATTATTAAAATAAAAGATTAGATTCTGAATAAATAAAAATTTATTTTTCAGTCAAATAATTAAAAAAAAATAATAATAACATTAACTGATTATTTATATTTAACACTACCAAAGCCGAAGTAAATCTTAAGGAGGAATAGTACTCTTTAACATAACGCCAAAACTAAAAAATTATTTTTACTTTTACACAAACAAAATTATGATTAAAATTAATTGTTTAGATAGACATCATAGTTTTCATCTAATTTTAATAAACAAGGGTTTAAAAAAATTAAAATGTTAAAATAAAAATTATTTAAAAAAATATTTTGAATCAACTTTTTTTTTCTTGCAAAATGAATAACAAGATCTTCTAAAATTAGTAGCCTGCGACAAAGTGTAAAAGCCCCTTCAGGTACAATTTTTAAATGCCCATACAAAGGCAATAGGAAGTTATACATTAACAATAGATCTTTGCTTCTATTATTTATGGTGTTTACTCAGTAAATTGCATTTTAAACTTAAGGAAGCAATCGCAGTTGTAGCGCCAAAAAATAGACCTTTTCATGAAATTTTTTTCTCGTTTAATTTAATATATATGGGCAAATCCACAGAACCGGCCTATTTTTACTTATCAAGATGAAAATTTTCCAAATAGCAAGCACACCTTTTATTTATGGTTTACTTTCTTTAAAATATATTCAAGAACAATTATCTTCTTGCGTGATTCATTTTATTTTAATGCCGTTTGAGTTAAAAGCCAAAAACGAAAATATTATTTTTCTTCTGGAAATTATAATTAAAAATGGCATTTCTTTGTTTTTTTTTATATATTATTTGAAATATGTGCAAAACATTTTGAATAATAAAATATGATAAAATACAAATAATTAATTTTTTAATTATCAAAAATAAATTATTTATATTTTATCATATTTCATTATATATTTTATTTATTAGCATTTAATTTTTTATTTCTGTAAATTAAATTGTTTACTTACTAATTTTGATATTAACTATTTTAACCAACAAACTGACATTATTGACATCGATTTTGATATAACTTTGAAAATAAAACAAATGAAAGGATAATTCATTTTTCACGATTAACTAGTTAAATTTCGATAAATTTTTTTTTATTTTTAATTTTTAGACGTTATAAATTGAAAATATAATTTGGCGTTTGCATACAAGAATTATAATAATGTCTTTATATAATCACACATGTTTTTAACTCATCATATTTTATCCTGGAGTTGTGCTACTGAAAAAAGGCTAAGTTGAAAATGGTTCACGCTTAAACATAGAGTGATAATTATTGGAATATTTTCTTTAATTCTGATTGCACTCTATTCTATGATACATACATTTGTTCGTCTGTTCACAAGCAATAAGCTCCAATTTGAAAAATTCAAATCGAATAATCGCCGCAAAAGATATTTACAAAAATGTATAGACATTTCATTATTATAAAATAATGAGTAACGCTACTTTCAACGACTATCATTTCTTTTTATTTAAGAGCACATATTTTTTATTACTTTCAAAACATTCTTCAATAAGTAAACTATAATTCACCACAGTTTGGAATTGTTCGGATCTATGCCGAACAAGTTATACCTATAAGAATTAAAATTTATACCTGGAGTAACACCGTAAATTTCATTTTTTAAGTTACTTAATTCGATTTTATTTTTTATAAAAGACTAGAAGGTTCACATTTATTCAATTTTCTTATTTCAATAGGTTCTCAGAGATATTACAAAATGGTTGAAGTATGAAAATAATTAATATAATACTTCTAAAATAGAAAAATATGTGAGTAACATGAAATCGGCCGGTTCTGTGGATTTGCCCATATGTGACACGATCTGAAGAAAGGGACCTTAGAAGCAAAAAATTATAGGTTACGTTTTAAATTTTAAAATTAAATTATGCAAACACGTTTAACTTGTAATGCAAACTAATGATATTTATGTCTTCATTACATCCAAAATATTCAATAAAAACTGATTTCACTTTTAAAAAACAAAAATAAACTTTTAGTTTGAGTAAAACTGTCGTAAACATAACCTATAATTTATTTGCTTCTAAGGTCCCTTTCTTCATATCGCGTCACATATTTAAAATTTTTAAATATTTTAAATATTTAAAAAAATTTTTTTTTTAACTTCTTTACTTTTAAATTCATATTTAATATATGTACTTTTAAATAATAAGTCGATATTTTGAAAAAATTTAATGGTGTACGAGAAAAAAATTCATAAAAAGGTCTTTTTTGGCACTACAACTGCGATTGCCCCCTTAAGTTTAAAATGCAATTTACTGAGTAAACACCATAAATAATAGAAACAAAGATCTATTGTTAAAGTATAACTCCTTATTGCCTTTGTATGAACATTTAAAAATTGTACCTGAATGGGCTTTTACACTTTGTCGCAAGCAACTAATTTTAGAACTAATTTTAGAACCCATTTTGCAAAAAAAAAGATGTTGATTCAAAATCTTTTTTTAAATAATTATTTTTTTAACACTTTAATTTTTTTCTTTTAATCCATTGTTTATTAACATTAGATGAAATCTCTGATTTCTATCTTAACTTAAAAAACTAAAAAAATATTTCGGTAAAATTAAGTTGTATTGATTTTTTTTCTTAATTTTTGAAAACATAATTACAAAATACATAGAATACAAAAATTAAAAGTTTTGAATATAATGCTTACCTCTACTTGATAATAAAAACAATTGTGCACAATAAAATACAAATTATTTTCTAAATTATGAAAAAACTTTATAATTAGTTTTAAGTTTACTTACAATTGTCGCAGTTCGTTATAAATCTGCCTGTTATTTATGGGCTGTGATCTTGAAGCATTCAAAAGTTCTTGCCGAAAAGAACGTTGCGCTTGAATCCTTACGTTAGGTAAGTGCGTATGATTTTTCGTCAGAGTAAATATACCAAAACTTAATTTTCCACGGGCTGGACAGGCTTTTGTATTTTTAAATTTGCATATTAAATATCTGTAATAAACAGGTTAAGAAGATTACCCTGTGTCAACCCACAGCAACTAAAGGCCATTTTAAAAATTTTATACTTTAGTTTCTAATAATAAAAAAATAAACATAAAATATTAATAGGCCTAGGCACGACTCCAAAGCGCAAAAAAATGGTTTTATGCGATTTTCGTTCCAGCAAAAGATTTTAAATTGAAATTTTTGGTAATTTTCTTTGATTTGTTTTTAAATTATAAACAATTGTTGAATTAGATAAAAAAATTTAATTAAAAAATAATTTAAGATACATAATTTTGTGAAGAATTTCATTAAAATTATTAATAATAATTAACTAATTTAGAGTAAAACTTGTTAAATAATTGAAATAAAGAAAATCTGCATTGCATACAAAAAAAAGTATTTTGTTTAATGCCTATTTTATTATTACTAGGAACTAAACCAAATGTTATTTAAGAAAAACTAACAAACAAAATTATAGAGAATATTTTATAACGCAAAATAAGCCGTAGTTTATAAAAAAGGGTCATAAAATATGAAATAATTAATACTTGACAATCATTGTAAAAATATATTCCAACAATTAATAAGATAAATTCTTTAAGAAAATATGCTCGAGAGTAAAAGTCACTGTGTTACCAGCAGTGGGATTACTAATAGCGCTAGTCGCTATGTAGCGCTTTTTGTTATTTAGAATTATAAACTTACATATTTTTAGTGAAATTTGTTCCAAATCATGGCCAAAATAAAATACCCTTGACAATTTCTTCAAAGCTTAAACTGCAAGATGGTAATTTAGAAGAAACTATAAACATAACCCCTCTAAATAAGGACATTGACATAGAATGCGTGTCAATTTCCTAAAATATTTTATCTACGATCAAACAAATACAACATGAAGGTGGAATCAATTCTCTAACTTCATGTTTGCCAACTGTTAGTTTCAAATAAAATAATTAACTAGTGACGAAATAAATTATACTTTAATATTGCCTAAATTTAAAAATTGATAAATTTTTTAAATTAAATTAATTATTTTTTAATTTTTTAATTAAATTAATTTAAATTTTCATTTTTTGAAAAAAAAACTCTTTAACTCACAAAAAATGCCCTATATGTACATTTTTTTAGTGAACCCTTGCGTGAGAACAAAAATTCTATTTCTGAGGTTATATTTTCAAACTTTTTTTAATTAAATTAAATAATAAATATAAATGCAATAAATATTTAATTATTAATATAAAAAAGAAAAGTAAATAGTTTATTATTATTGGATAAAGTTGAATTATTTTCTTGATTTTTTGTAAGGATAGAAATTGGAAATAAAAGTGTTAATATAATAATATTAATAATTATCATTGCCTCGAATTGCCTTTTTATAATATTTGAGATTTGAAGTGTTACACTTGAAAAATTTGTCAGCCTTTTAGATATTTCTTTTAATTGCTTCATTTCTTCATCGTGGGAAATCCTTATGAATTTGATACATTTTTTTAAGTCACCCGATAGCTAGAAAATTTTTTAATGTGAGTGTAGCTTTGAATCGCTACGTAGCGAAATCTTCGTAGCGCTGTCGCTATTTGTAATCCCACTCCAGAAGTCTACGGTTCTACGAGGGGACAACAAAAATCATGAGCGACCCCCTTTTAGAATCAAATCCATATTTTTTTACACTTTTAAGGTGAATTACGTATTTTTTCAAAATAACTCTTTTTTACTTGCTTTTTAGCACTTCTCAAAAATGTAACATAATAGTATTATATTACAATAAATAACACAAAATTTTAATATAATAAAAAAATAGTTTACGACCGACTTAGTTAAATTTATATAATGGATTGAACCCAATAATAATTAAATTAAAGCTGTTAAAATTTTAAGGTTAAAGAAATGTAATAAAAAAAAGTTTACCAAAATTAACACGTGGTTTTTAGGTTAAAAATTTCATTAAAAAGATAAATTACTTACGTTGTACCATTAATTACACGATTTTCAACATATAAATGATTCTCAAATATATACTCTCTATTTATGAAAGGTTCTCCTCCAAGAAAACCATTTGCACCAGCCATCGAAATTTTTGTACATTAATTTTAAAAAATTTAATTCCTTTTGCCGTTTTACGCAATGGAGAGAGAGAGAAAGAAAGAAAGCCTTTCTTTTTGAAACTTCTAGAAGAAACGAATATTCACGAATGAATTTAAATATTTACGAAAATTTCCGAACGCTATGTAAGCGAGTAAGAGGGAGAGAGAGAGAGAATTTGATTTCAGTGGAAATTCAAATCTCTCTCTCCCTCCACCCCTCTCTCTCTCTCTCTTACTCAAACGAGGTGTGTGAGTGCCTGTACTATTAATGGTTTCGAGACGCAAACAATATATCATCAACGTATATGGCTATTAAAATCTTGTCATCTCCTGATCCTATTACATATAGGCATGGATCCGAATTTGTGGGTATAGCTCCCAAAGATCGAAGAATTTTATCGAATTTTAAATACCACCGTTATCAGTTTGTGAACACTTGACCGTTTTACCCTTTTGATTTTCAACGAGATTAATGTACTCTTTTGTCGCTTGGAACACTTCTGATTTCGATTTCAAAAATCGAATTTCGCACCACTTTGATTTATCGTCGATAAACTCCACGTAGTATCTCGCACCTCTTAATGATGGAACACGAAGAGGACCACACACGTCAGAATGAATGATTCCCAAGATTTTCGATTCACGATTCGATTTCTTCGAAAAAGTGTTTCTCGACATTTTTCCATGTACACAGATATCACAATTCGACTCTAAACCTCCGTTTTGTAATTGCACACCAGACACATTCTTTTTGTAAATAGCATCCTTGATATCTGTGAAGTTCGCGTGACCAAGCCGTCTGTGTAGCAATAACAATAACACTTTGTTTAATTTCGAATTAGAAACAACATTACATGTTTGATTCTCTGTTTCACGAACAAAATATAAATCACCAATTCGATCCGCGTGTAATTCGATTTTTCCTTCCGCGTTTAAAATTTCGGCTTTATCTTTTTCGAAAATTACCGTATGACCTCGATCCGTTATTTTTGAAACTGATAAAATGTTTGTCCGGAGATCTGGAACGAGCGACGCGTTTTCGAGAGAAATCATTTTCATTCCGGTTTTCGTTTCTACCGCGAGACGTACTTTACCTTTCCCGTCAATACTAGTTGTCGAATTATTTGCGAGATTTAACGTACTCGAATTTAATCGATCTATTTCACTGAATTTTGACAAATCACTACAAAGATGCGTTGTCGCACCACTATCAAGACACCACTTTGTTTTTCGAATATCTGACTGAAATGTTGAAGCTTCAACACTGTTTAAACACAAATCATCATCCGCGAGTTTTGCAGATTGTTTCTTGTTTTTATTATGCCAACATTCCGACGTCTGCAAAACTCGCGGATGATGATTTGTGTTTAAACAGTGTTGAAGCTTCAAGATTGTTTACGATCTTTCCAATTGTTACCTTGTTTCACAAACATAGCGTTAGATATCTTTGCTCGCACACTTGCCTTCCGAGCATCGTTCTCTTCGATAATTTTTGTGCGAAGGTTATCGGCAGTCGGTAAATCGTCGCGCGATTCAATCGCGCAACGAAAATTCTCGAAACTAGAGGGCAAGCTGTATAATAACATAATCGTTAATTGATCAGGATGAATTACAATGTTCATATCTCCCAGCTTGTCCACAGTATCGAAGGAATCATTAAGATGATCTCTCACGTCACTGCCCTCAGCCATTTTATGTAGAGTAGACTTTTTCAAAAGCGTTGCTTTCCTGGCTGGTCCCTGAGACTGATAAATATCACGCAATCTTGACCACAAAGCTCTCGAAGTTTCACAATTTTTTACTTGTTTTAATTCACTAGGCGAGATAGACAAAATTATGTCTGATCTTGCCTTTTGATCACTTTTTTCCCATGCTTTCACTGCGTCGGCATTCGCGTTGCCCGCCTCCAATATCGGTTTTACATTGGTCCCATTTACAAATTCCCACAGATCATTTTTAATAAGCGCAGCTTCCATTTGTAATCTCCACGTGTCATAATTGTTCTTAATTAGAAGTTCGATCCTTGAAATAGAACTCATGACGACGCGACACGATGCGTTGAAAAACGCTTTGGGAAGTTGAAAATGACAAAACTCGATTTCTCACAAAATAATTACACTTAGGCACTCTGGGCCCATAACCTGTTATAAATTATAGAAATGAGATCGAAATAAATAGTAAAAGTACACATATATATTAATATATGATTTATTAGATATAAATATCAAAATGGTTGTGTGGACAATAAAGAGATTTATTTCAGACTGACGCGACAATTGCCAGATTCCTTTTTAGTTCAATTATAGATGTCGCTATAGAAAAACCGCGGGATATTCAAAAACAAATAATAACGTGATTTAAAACATCTTAACATTATTCAATACAGAATTTTTTTTCACTAAATAACTTAACTTTTTGAGATGTATTTTAACACTGGTCTGTAGGATTGCACTCTTTTTAATAAAAGATAATATTCAAACAAATCCTTTATTAAAAGTTTTTTTTATAAATATTTCATTAATAGTTGAAATAAATAAATTTTATTTTAAATTTTACAGTTATTACATTTGTAAAAATTACAAAAGTGGCCAATGTCCAGCACGCGCAACTTTTAAAAATAATACATTTTATGTGCGCAAGAATCACACACATAAACCTAATTTACAAAATATTAAAGTAAAATTATTTAAACAAAATTTATATCGTGCTGTGACTACAACTAATGATATTTATAGAAAATGCTAAGATGCAGTCCGCACTTCGTAAGTATTACTTTTAATTTTGAAAATATAGTTTAATTTTTTCTCAATCTGCTTAATTGTAAAATAAAATATTTTTTAAATAAAATTTAAAAGAAATAAAAACAATAATAGACCTTGGGGTATACAACTACGGCGACAAATTTTTTTTTGATAAAATATTCAACACAATAATATTCCTCGAATTTACTTGAAAAATTCTTTATACTAATTTTCATAAAATTATAAATATTTTAAAATAATTTCGATTAATTCATTGAAGAATTAACGATATCTGAAATTGTTTCAATAAAATTTGAAGATAACTTTAATTATTTGATTGAATAATAATTAAATATAATTTTAGAGATAGAAAAACATTTTACCTGGTCGATTTGAAACTTATATTTAAAAAATTAATGTTTAACATAAATGAAAGATTATTAGGGTCAACCGGGGTAAATCCGAACGCTTTTAGTAAGTTTCAACAATAACATAAGTTTTTTCTTTAAAAAAAAATACTTCCGGTATTCTGGTGCATGAAGTTGTTACTTTACTTCCATAGAACAATTTTATGGGGTAGCAAAAATTTTTGATAAATTACAATCGCAGGAAACTTAGCGTTCGTATTTACCTCTATACTTTGCAACTTTCCTAAAATACCGGGGTAAATACGAACGCCACTGTATTTCAGAAAAATCTTAGGGAAAATAAATTTAAATTATTGCAATTGTTAAACTTATATAAAAACTCAAAAAAATACGATAATGCATCATATATAAATACAAAAATCAAACAGGTTAAAAATTAAAATGCATTACACAATTAAAACCTTCAATAACTTTATCAAATCATAACGGATTTTTGCAAAACTTGCTACAGAAAGTATTTTGGAGTGATTGAATGTAAATACAAAAATAAAAGTCAAATTTTTTAAATTCAAAATGGCGGACTTTCCTAAAACTTATTTTTAAAAGTGATCAAATTTGCTAACTCCAAATTCGTAATCAGCGACCCTGAAACCCCCCGAGTAACAATTTTCAAGCGAATCCAATGAATTTTTTAATTCTCGTCCGCCATTTTGAATTTTGAAAAACTGACTTCAAATTGGTAATTAGCGACCCCAAAAACCGTAGAATACCAAATTTTATTAAGATCCTGAAAAACTTTTTTCAACAAACCATTTGGCAAAAAAATTGAAACACTCCTTCGAGAGAACAGAGATTAAGTTTCTGCTTATTAATTACTAACGAGGATACGTATAGAAAGAAAAACTTTTTTCTATGTACTTTTATAATGTTAAAATAATAGTGTAATGAAATAAAAAACAATTTTGTGTGGCTCTGATGTAAAAAAATGATTGACAATACCGTTCGGATTTACCCCGGTTTTCCAATTTTCCTGGGTAAATACGAACGGTCTGATATTATTAATAAAATTTTACAGAAGGCAAAAATGAAAAATAGTTTCTGTTCTAGTATTCATAACAAACAATTATAAATAATAAAATGAATTTTTAGCTTCTTTTTCTTCAAATACGAGACAAAATACTGAAAGAGTGTCATCTTTGATTTTCAATCTTTTTTGCAATACTCGTTATCTTTGTTTATGCTGTTGCTAATTAACAAACGAAAAATGGGATAATACTTAGAATTTCTTTAAGAGGATCTGAGGTAAAAATTCTCATATCGAACTTATTTTTAAAAATTTTAATTAAGCTGAAATAATTAGCGTTCGGATTTACCCCCCGTTCGGATTTACCCCGGCTGACCCTAATTATTATATTTTTATTTAAAATTATAAACATGATATTTATAAAATAAATTACCAATTTCTAATCAAATTATTTTTTAAAAGCTGTTTTTTATTTCAATCAAGATGTCGAGGAAGAATTAAAAAAAATTTCCCGATTTTTCCCTCACTAAACTTCTTTATTTTTTGTAAAAAATAATTATTTTTCCATATTAAAATAATTTGAAAATTATAAAAATAAAACTTTTAATTTTATAACAAAATTTTTATAAAATTGAGTACAGTTTAATTTTAAAAAATTTCGTTTTAAAGTAATTAGAATGTTTATATAATTGAATGTTTTTAAATGATTGATTTTTATTGTTAATAAATCAATATCAATTTATTTAAAAAATTTTTTTAAGTTTAATCAATTTTGACACCATTATTTTTAATCCAAATTTTTTTAAAATATTTGATTCAACAATATTAAATGAGTTATTTTTAAAAACAATTTTTGAAAGCCTGAATTTTTTAATTAATAAATTAATTTCTTTTTGATTGCATCTTAAAAAAGAATATAAAATTGATTGGTTTTTAAAATTTTATTTTACTTTAC